ATACTACACATCAGGTTGCGACCAATAGAAACGTAGAAATTGAGGTAAATGTGAAAAAAAAAGAAAAGAGGAATTATCTTAGACGGCTTCCGTTGCTGATTCTTATTTAAATGATAAAAAAAATGTCCGCGGTAGTATATATGTCTACCTATTAAGATTAACTCACAAGAACGACGCGACGGAACGCGGACGACGTCGTGGGAGAAAGGCATAGTTTATAAATCTGAGGAGTTTATTTGTAAAAACAAGTATGATGCTAAAAATAACTATTCCGCGCGGATGAAGTCGCAAGCATAGCTAGTGACTTCATATTTATAAACATAATTTAAGTAATATAAAACCGATGAATAAGACTTTTTTTGACACAGGATAAGCATGGAGTTCCCTTAATGAAAGATGAAATTATATCAAAACAAGATAGATTCGCTTAGTCGACCTGGACCTATAAACAAGGCTTAGTGAAGGCCTCCTAAAATATCTATTTTTTTAGTGAGAACAAAAATTGGGCCAAGTCATATATCGACTAGGCCTATTTCACTTTGAAATAATTACTTTGACTACCTTCGAGTTCATTATTTCATGGTGAAACTGGGTCTAGACTTGGTGTATTATGTGACTGTTACCTAAGTACTGTTTGAGGTTACTGACCAGATAACCAGGAGAGGTGAGGAGGTTAATCGATTGTTCGAGACTTGCCAATAGGGATGTCGCTTAGGCATGATTAACGCAGGTTAACAATCCATCCAATATGACCCCTTTGGGGTGATAATAGCAAATAAAAACATTCCTAATCGTCCGCCATTTTCGCAAAATAAGGGTTAAGGGAATTAGTATTAAATATTACTTACAGTTTATTTAATACTAATTCTATTGCATTTGGCTCTTAAAATAATACTATTTGAATATTCTTGGACAATTAAAACTATACAAAGTTTTAATGTAAGATAAGACTGAACAAAATATAATTCTGTACTGAAATCGTCTTTCATTTTAAACAAAACTCTCATAACGGTTTGTAACACGAAATTTTTTTTACTGAAATATATTAGTAAATTAATTTTTACGGCCGGCCTGACGTTTCGGATTCTTCGTGTACTGGAGGAAAAGCTTCCGAAAAGCCGTAGTTAAAATATTTAAAACAAGTTGACTAATATATTTCAAGTTTTAAACCGTTAAATGTATTTGAAAGAGTATTATTCGCGTAAACTACAGACACTATTAAATTTCCTTCAATGGAATGCTGTTAGCCCTAGCTGGTCGCTCTGTTTGTGTATCGTGACTTTTACAGACACAATGTGGCGTAAATTGTACTATTGTTTGGTGATTTAGCTTGTGTACATAAGGTTTATGCATTAAAGGTTTGATTTACATACACAAGTTGACCAGTACCTAGAGCTCAAAAACCCTAAGAACATTCATTTTTTTTGAAATAATGTTAGCAGTCGTTTTATGTGTCTATTCTAGTCTAATGGTTAAGAACTGCGTGACAATTTACGAAAGATTCGTAAAGCATTGAAATTTTTTTTTTTTTTTTTGGGGGGGGGAAAAAAAAAAACCCCCGGTTTTTTTATTTAGGTTTTTTCTAATGGCTTTTTTGTGAAAAAATTTACATGAAATCCTGATTTCTCACAATTCACATTCATACATTAAATCCTGGCATGGGATTGATATTAAACTCATAAAAAAAAAAATCCACTTAGTAAAAACAATTATGTTAATGAATAAAAATCCCAAATATTTTACAGATTCAAATTTCTTTCGTTTCAATTTAATAGGATGGGATGTAAGTACAGTCAACGACAATATAAGGTAAATGTCACACTCATCCACGATCGCATAACAGCGTTACAAACGTCAAGGTAATAAATAAAACAGAGGTAAAAGATTCCAAAAAGAGGTCGTCTAAAAATAATTTTGAATATAAACGATGTTTCATCCCTGCGTCATCGGTGGCAACAACTTCTCTCTATAAAAGTTCATCACTTTATGGTTTGAAATCGGTCATATTTGTTGTGGTCTTTTGCCAAGTTGGAAAAAATACACTATAAACTATTTGATTCAAATTATACGTATTGACGTTCGCGGCGCCTATACGTTAGTCGGGCGCTAGAACGCTCGGTGCGTACGGGCCCTTAGAAGTTGAATAACAAATGTCACGTCACTCTAATTACTGAACCGCTTTAATTAATCAGAACCTAGTGGTTCTTTGCTTCGATTCGGGTTCACCGCGGGCGGCCCTTTGCTCCGGGAACCAATTAATCTACCTTTCTTTGCCGTCTGATTAAACAGAGTGGCTCTAGGCTGTAGCACCACAGTCTACTTATGATAGAAATAAAACTAAACACGGAAGTATGGCATAAGTCAATAAAACCAATACAAATATTACAATGGTGAAGAATATGATTGTTTGAACGCGCTAATTTTTAGCAACTGCAAATGGATTGAAAAAACTGAGAGAGTTATTCATCTTTGGGGAAACCATATTTTTTAAGATAAACTATAATCAATCAAAATACTTCTTAAGCTAGAAAAACTTTTGCCAAGTCAGTTAATGCTAAATTAAAGGTATATAATGTCACAATAGTTGAAATACTTCTTTACTACAAATACAATGTACTGTGGACGGTAAAAATAAAATTACATATTCATGTTAAACGAGTAAATAGGTTCCAAAGATTAGATAAAGTGTGTCCAAAGTATGTGATTTACTGGGTTAAACTATTCTAATGAGATATGAAAACATTGAATCACTTTTAGTGAGGGTTATAAATCCATATTGTAATTAATTGTATGACTAGTTTGTTTTCGACGACGGTGTGTGTGAGGGAACGGGGTCACATGTTTGGCAATAAATATTCTTTTCCATGTTGTACTTACTGTCTTTCTTCATCCTAAAAATTAGTGATATTAACTATTTATACCACAAGGAGTGTTTAAAGGTGGACATTAAAGGTGAAAACCCCTTCCTCCGTAGAGAAGAGGACACTTCATTTGATCTTTTAAGTCACATTCTTTTACTGGACTTTTATAGACTTCAAAGGCTAAGAACTGTAGGAGTTCGACTTCAAACTTGAATGTCTTTATTATTTGAAATTATAAGAAATAAATAATCATATTTTAGTCTATCATTTATAATTTATAGGATATTGTTTGAAAAAATCTCCTTATAAAAAAACACTTTAACTATTATTAAACTATCTTCTTCCTTGACTATGGTAATCAAACTGGCCATAGTGAAAACAATTTCCAAATAAATTTAACAAAGAAACTTAAGTTTAAATGTTATCTCTATAGTAGAAAAAAAATGTTACATAACTCATAGTGTAGGCGTATTTTCCAATTAAATATGTAAATAAAATAAAAGTGATAAGAATCTCAAATGCCTGGCTATTATAAATTTACACATGCTTTAGAGGTATCTGTCACGGTCACACAAATAATTGGGTAATTCGACCTTGTGGGCCCACTTTTAATTCTACGGTGCTCAATGTTGATATCAAAAACGTGAATATTTGCAATAACACTAATCACTATAACAGTCTATATTACAAATTAAATGTAAGATCAATTGCTTTACTTATATTCTTATGTATGACTACGAATGGAGACAAAGTTTACAATACATTTACATTAGAAAAAAAAAAACCTACATGAATAAATGATTTTTGATTTGACTTGATTTAATTTGATCTGCAATTTACACGGTTAACGGCTTAAAATGCGAAATGATTTAGTTAAGTTAGTTTATATATGATATTTTTGGGTTCTAACCGAAAATTTTTGGGTTTTGAACAGTTGAAAATAGTCACTTTCGTAACTTAATTTTTTAACCCGCTTAAATTTAGTTTCGACACTAAAATTTCTCTGGAAAAACAAATATTTGCCAAACCAGCGTATGTCTGTCATCTTATATACCTATATGTATGTACAGATTTCTCTATATCGTTCTACTAAACAGAGATAGCAAGTTCGTGTACGTATTGCGTGATTCGTTTACAATTTGTGTACTGTTATGTAAATATGGTAATTTGACGTTAAAAGTGAAAATACTTGTCACGGTTTTATAATTGTTTAACGTTTTCACATTGTTCTACTTAGTTCTTTGTGTATATATGTACATAAATATTTTTGTTTAGAGTTATCTCCCAAAAAACTGTATAATGATTTTATTCGTTTTCGTCTAGGTTTATTCTCATCAATACCACCTAATATTTTTACAGTAAATAATAACGTGTTAAGTACATAAAAAATCGTTGTTAAATAATACTTATCTTAGCTATTTTTCTGTTTTTCAGAATAATCGAATACTTTTAGTTATAATTTTTAGAACGTACATATTTACAACATACAAGGATATTTCGGTATTGCATAAGACATTTTATTAAATATTACTTGTTTTTTGTACTATAAGTATAATTATATAGAACTCATAAAAAGTTCTAGTGAGGTTCATACCTGACGTTTATTAAAGTGCTTTCTTTCATAAATAAAACACTTTAAACGGTTTATAACGCAAAATAAATTAGACAACTTGTTTAGAATTTATTTAAAACTACTGTCGTTTCGTATGCTTTGCAGCAGCGATGGTCACAAAGGAACTACGGGGGAATAAGTTAGGTACTACTCGCGTAAAGTACAGACAATACTCATTCATCAATCAATAAATTAAATGGAATTGTTAATGAAATATTTTTTTATTTATTTATAAACTTAATTAATTATCTTATTAAATAATTAAATTAATTTAAATAACCACACGCAAACTAAAAAACAAAGAACTGTTGTTTTAAGTGGTACTATCAGTAACTCCAATAAACAGAAGGGTGAAGCTGTTAAGTAGATTTTCCCACGTTTTATGGAAGGGCGCTCAACGCATGCATGTTTTCATCGACAGAAGTTCCGTTGTTGATAAAAACATGCAATAATTTGTAAACCATTTGACAGCATCTGTCATTTGACATGTACAGTCGAGTCTGACCATTGTAAGATGTGACTCTATGATGCAAAAGTTTTGTATCGTTTTATTCATCTTGAACGGTAAATAGTCCAATTTAAATCAACACTAATATATAAAGCTGAAGAGGTTGTTTGTTTGAACTCGCTAATCGTAGGAACTACTGGTTCGAATTGAAAAATTATTTTTGTGTTGGTTAGAGATCGAGAAAGGCTATAAAGCATCGCGTTTTTACTACGCGGAGGAAGTCATTGACACAGCTAGTAAGACATAAGATCTTACATTCTATAAACATTGAATTATATAAATTTTGTTACAATAGTTTTAATCTGTGACGGATTGAAGTGGAGCAACATAAGATGTTCGACCGACACCAATCAGAACCAGGACGAGGGAATTGTATCTGATATTTCGCGGTTTCCTTGGCTCGGGGTCGTTCAGCATACGTTTTGTAAGTAATGGATTATGATTTTAAATCTGTAAGTAATATTTGTCTACGATAGAGACACACAAGCACAGACAATCACGGGGTTTACTTGATGGAAGGTAGCCAGTAGAAGTATAACATTTAAAGGGTATTTTTTCTAACTTGACATTTTTGTTAAAAAACACATTAACATGAAATAGTGATTTTTCTCACAAGGTTTACATTGATTTGCACAAAAAAACACTTTAATACATTGGATTATATATTAAACTAATGTTCTACCACAAATTCACTTAGTAAATTCCCAAAAATGAATTTACGCTAATGGACAGATTAGGGTCTCTTTAATTTGGCATTTATATAAGGATGGGATGTAAGCAAAGTCACTAACAATAGACGGTAGAAGTCCCTCTCACCCATGATCGCTGGACAGTGTTACAAACGTCGAGTTGAATAGTAATGACATTAAATTTCGTGACCTAGATTGACATCAGTGTGTCTTTAATATATTATGCTTTGGATATTCCACGTCTAATATTTAAAACACTCTAACGATTTAAAACGCGATATATATAAACTTATTTGAAAATTATTTTAACTACGGCCCGACGTTTCGGTTGCTTTGCAGCAGCCGTGGTCACGGGGAGACTAAAGATTGAGGGTGTCATTGCCTTAAAAATAAAAACTGCTACGCCGGTATGCTGTTTTTTTGGCAGTCTAATATGTCAACACTTTGTTTATTGCAGATATTGGTGGCACAAACAGATTCGCTATAACTACGGGAATTCTTATCCATCCAGGATATGTAATTGCTCCCGCCGAAGACATAGCCAGAATTCAGCCGGGTTCCCTGATGTAAGGAAACATTTTAAAACTTTAGTATTGTCTGTCGTTCACGCAAGTAGTACAAATAAAACCCTTCGTATGAAAAAATTACCTTAACTTGACGTTAGTTGTTTTTATTAAGACGTGTCAAGTTAGTTCGATCTCTGTTTTTAGCAACAACACCCAGTTTATTATATGGCAAAGTGCAACCAACAAATATGTCTCACCCGTAACGGACTTTTTTTTACACCCCGAGTATGAGAAGACGACGTATGCTACGTTGGCGGTGCTCCAGATATTTACTAGGGGGGAGACAGGGCCAGGTAACCCTTGTTTTAGAAAGGAGGTACTATTTGAACGGTTTAAAACGTGAAACATTAACGAATGCTAATAATTAGAAACGCATGCCGTGTTTAAAAATGTGTTAAGTAATATATTTCGCATTCTAAACCGTTAAAAGTGTTTTATTTAAATCTTTCAATAATTTTGGACTGATAAAGGATGACAATAATTCCTATGCCTCGTTTAATGTCTAGCTTAAGCATATTACGGAAAAATTACATACCTATAATAAGAACTTCTTGGAACCGGTGGTTATTAAACCCACGAACCGCTTATCAATTTTCTTTTTACTGAAAATGCCTTAAAAATATTTCCTCCCTTTTCAGCGCCGGTGTTGCCTATCTGTATGCCTACTTCCGGTGGCGGGTCGTTTGAGGACTTTTTTGTTATCAAAATGACAGACGGTAAGGACAGCACGGTATCGCAGAAGAGTAAAATATTTTACTATTTTGTATATTACTGTTAAAGTAGAATACTTTTCACGGGTTCAACGCGAAATATATTAGTTAATTTACAATTAAATTTAAATGTTATCATTTTTTTTCTAATAATATTTTCAGCAAAGGCGGACTTGGCAAAGGAGTTTATAAAAATGAAATTCATGGATAATCAAGATTGCGAAGAATTTTATTTCAAAGCTCAGGTTTCTCTAAACTCTTACGATAATATTGTATTAAAATAATATTTAAAAACCAAACTGGCTCATTGGTTTAGTACTACAAGTAGCAATGTGGCTAATGTGGCTAATAAACAACAGTTTGTGGGTTCGATTTCCAGATTTATAATTTTTATCAAACGTGTTGGATCGAAATAGTGTTTGTTAAATGATATAGAAAGTCCAACACGGATGTTAAATGATATATGATAGTAATATCGAAATTCCGAACAGGTCACGAAAATTATTATTTTTTAAAGTTAAATTACAAGAAGATGGCGCCAGAGAGACCGATATGTGCGACAGCGGAATCCAAAACGGAATCTTGTTTATGGGATGCTGGAGCCGCTCTTGTCACCAGGCAATCGTGGGGCTTTTGGAAACTTGTTAGTATCGACACTTATATAAATTTAACTTATATATGATTAAAATAATACACTTTTAACCTTTTAAATAGTTAATTTATTTACAATCTATTTGAACTATGACCGACGTTTCGGATGCTTTGCAGCAGCCGTTGTCACGGGTGGAATGAAGATCGAGGGTATTCCAAATGGAAACCTGCTACGCTAGCGCCACCTGTTTCGTCATAGTTAAGGTAGATTGTAAATAAGTTAATGTGTTTCGCATTTGACCCGTGAAAAATGTGTTATTTAAACTTCTCGTGTAAACTACTGTCAATATTTAGTTATACATATTTGTGTAAAAATGATGCCACGAGCTGAAAAATTAGTCTTATTGGAAACTGGAAAATAATTTTGACTCATTAGTCAAGTATGTATATGCTTTAAGTTAACTAATGGATCGTGGCTTCAATTCTTACAGGGCGGACCATGTTAAATTAATTTCGGATTTCTTAAAGATGACTAACCTATAAAAATCAAGTCGAACGTCCACAGATGGAAAAGACTGTGTTCGCGTTTCGGATTCAGACTGTTTATATAACGTCGAAAGGGATAGAAAGTGGAATTGATGGTGTACCGTCATGAATATGCCTCTTTGCTTTTGATTCAGATTGGTTTCGGCGTGAGGGGCCCTGGTTGTGGAGCGCCATCTCGATTCTTGAACATCAACCACTACATGATGTGGATTGATGACGTCATATCGCAGAGTCCTAACAGGCAGAGGTTTGATGACGAAGCCATTATCTTCAGACGCGTCAATCCTTACAAACTCGTTATGTACAAAGGTAAAGAGTATTTCAATCAACTACTTAAATGATCTAACCTAGACTTAGACTACCAAGTAAATTAGAAAAGAAATATTTATTATTCGCTGTAATTAACGCGATTTATATAAAACCCCTTTGACGGTTCAAAACGTAACATACATAAGTTAACTATAACACGATCTTTAGGATTCGTATATTGCGCGATTTAAACCGTTAAAAATGTTTTGCTACACGATATATTAAATCTCACACACTCCTCATTGAAAATCAATAATTAATTGAATTTTAAATTGTCTTAGATGCCCTATAGTATACACAGGCGAAATAAAATTTGATATTCTTTGAAAACTTAATTATTTTTTACATGTTATTGCACATGAAGGCACTATATCTGTCTCTATCACTATATCTATATCCTGCCCGAGTCGAAAAAAATTTCAATTTATTTTCGATTTTTAAATTTGATATTCTTTCATATCACAGCACATTTAATTAAATTGTGACTCGTTCGTCTATACACTTTATATTCTTTAATAAAAATATACTTTGCTCCCATATATCGATAAATAGTAACTATAAATATATAAAAGTTATTATTTAGTTATATTAAATTCCGGCCATAACCCACTATGCGCGTGCCCCACTCGCACTTAGCCGATCTTCTTTAATACTGCAAATATTTACTTCATAGGAAAGGTTCGTCTGCCGAAGTCGTTTGGACAATGTGACAGGAAGCTGAGGGGACGTGTTATTTTCAAAGATAACACGGAAATTCTCGTGAACAAGAACTTCGCACAGGGGTTCTTTTTTTGTAAGTGTCTAATAGAGGGGAGTGGGGGGAACCATGGACAGCGGGTGATAACGCGTATGTTTAAGTATGTTATATATTTTCAAATACGTAGTCTCGAGATACCCCACTCTCCCCTAATCGTTCTTTTTACAACAAAATAGATCGGGGTTCACTCGATGAGAGGTGGAATACCTCAATCATATTACATCTTAATTAGATGCACTGTCGACCCATTTAAACTTAACTTGAACCCAAATGAAGAAGAAGAGACAAGCACGGGTTTTACTGGATGGCAGGTGATCTACCAGGACCATATAACATCTAAACAACTATGTGGACGATTTTCATGAGACGGACGGAATTCCGATATTCCTATCATCACTCACATCAAACAATCCGTTTAATGGATATAAGTGTCTCAGAAAAAATATAAATAGAATTTTAATAACATGTTAAAGTTTGTGAGAGTTGAACCTCCGGCCCTTTGTTTATAGTGAGCCGTAGTTACAATAATTTGTAAATAAGTTTACCTAGTATTTTTCGCGTTTTAAACCGTCAAAGTGTTTTATTTTAATGTGTAATACTCCTGTAAACTACAGACAGTATTTTATAGCGAGGTTGCAACTACTGGATCTACGAGACTTTTTATCGTTTCTGTCACCAGATGTCAGTGGCCCAAGCTATGTCGGTACACTGCGCGACTGTCATCCTCGACACGAGTTCCCGAACCAACGCGGCCATCTGGCTTGAACACCACTGTTCCCAAGAATTGCGAGGAGAGAGGACTGGCTTCGAGTTTAGGCAACTCGACCCGTTAGTGAATCTATCATCATTCACATAATCAATGGCTTGTAGAGCTTGCTGAGCCTTTGTGGGCCCTAGCCAAAGCCAAGAATCTTGTGGAGACGCTGTACGGCTGGGGTATACCCCAGGCTTGTCTGTCCTCCTCAATTTAAAAAAAAAATCCTGCCCTGTGTTTCTTAATATTAGTAAACTTATTTTAACTACGACTCGACTTTTCAAATGCTTTACAGCCTTACTAACAGGGAGACCATCAAAGAAAGTTTAGTATATTTCGTGTTTTGAACCGTTTATTTTTTATGATTGAAGAGGACAAATATGGGGCTCACTTCATGGTAGGTGAAATAAAAAATATATATAATCTGTTCAAATAATTTCAGAGATGAATGCTTCGTGTACTTCACTAGCGTCGCATACATCGAATTTCGGTTCTACTTCTCGTTCAAGGCAATATTGGAGGTCACTCTGTACGGCACAGAAGAGAAGCAGAAGATCAGACCGCACCCTTGGGGCATGACGGAATCGACATACCCCTGGTGGCCGACTGCGGGGAAATTCCGATATTACAACTTTGTACCCAAAGCGGTTTGGATGTACGACATATAATTTGTTTTAGGTTAATGAAGTTACAAAATATAAGCTTCACGTTTTAAAACTGTTTAAAAGCGTTTTATTTCTAGAAGTAGCTAAGTATTTATAACTACGAGAATGTGATAATTAGAAAGTTACGAACTGCATTCATTTATTTTTGTTACTACATTATGGTAAAGGTTTTAACCGACTTCAATAAAGGAGGAGAACATCGCGATTTTTTTTGGAAATAAGGTATTTCCAACATGGTCGCATTCTAAAATTTAAAAATTATGTAGTAACAATACCTAAAATTTTTTGAGATACTTTGTTTAATTGTTTATACGTTTTACATATAGAGCTTACAGTTCCATATAGGTATAAAATAATAAATAATTTAGTCAAGAAAAGTTCATACATACATATTAAATAAAACAAATAAAAGTATATATACTTATATAGAGGGAGCAGACTTAACTGAAAAAACATGTGCAGAATCCTGTGCTACTCAAACTGTGCTTTGTCAGAAATGCGAAATTATTCATTTCCTTTCTATTATATATTACTGTATATTAGTTTTCTCTGTAACGTTTTCCTACGTTCTACGTCGCTTCAAGACGAAAGACGGTCAAAGTACCTGTTCGCAAACTATGTTAATAGAGTACTTGATCCAAATGCTTTCGACTAATTAATTCAGTCGATTGTCGAATGATTTATGGTAGCAAGTATTTACTTTCCAAATTGGTTCAAGCGAATTAAGTACTTACAGTGATGTAGTAGGGCGTATATTTCTCTGTGCAAGTGCGTAATTCATTTCTCGACTACATACCTATAGGCTGGAAATCGCCGGACAAACGGACAAAAAACTGTCGAGGTGAAGGACCGTAATTCTGCTGGTATCGTCCAAGTTAATTTCAGGTGTTTTTTTAAGACGACAGGCTCGTTGGTGTAACAGTGGCAACGCAGGGCTAATAATCAACGAGTCGCGGATTCGGTCCCCACCGGGTCAAAATTTTTCTTCTAAATTTATAAATCCCGAAACGTGTTGGACATCGTCCTGAAATCTGGATGTAGGAAAAACCCGTAATGTTTAATCGTGTTTCAAACCTAAAATAGGTCGAGAGAACATCTCGTTTCAATGTCTTAGGGCTTTATTATAAAAAAGTAAAAATATACAAAAATACCAAGAGGGTCATGAATAAATTCATAGGTGACTTAGAGGAAGTCGGTAACTCAATTGGTCGGTAGTAGCACGCTGTGGTCAAGGGGTTCGTGTCTCGATGATTTTTTAAAATCTAAGATACAAAATACAATATACACTGCATCTATTGTATGTTATAGAGAGAGGTGCTGTTTCATTAAACAAAAAAAAAGAAAATACAAACGTTTTATTTACGTCAATAATTGAAATTTGATTTTAATACGTATATATGCTAGTAGTAGTACTATAGTAGTACAAATTCAAATTATGGCGCCGCGAAAAATATTTCGTTAATCCCATTTAGACTTTCAAAATAGTTCTTTATCTTTGTTATTTTATTATTTAGCTTTTCTTTTTGACCAAACGCCTCTCTTCTTGGTCATGTTTTTTTTGACAGATGGACTATCTACCAGGTTTGCTTATAAGTACATATAAAACGGCAATCGATAACCGAGTTAAATAAATTCTTGACGCGGTGGCATTAATACGTAAGTACCTAAATTATGCTAAATTATTACATACATTTCGCGTTTTAAACCGTTAAAGTGCTTAAGTAAAATGGTTAATAATTGTTTTTTTTCGAAAGTAATAATTACAGTTATTTGGCCTATTGTAGACACGATATACACTGATACTATTAAAAAATATAACAGGTATGGGCCGTGTAAAATCAAGATTGCTGACGAGAAGAATTGTTGAATAATTGTTGTTAAATAATTACTGAAAGTAATACAATTTTACTGTTTTTAAAAATTAATTAAATTACGCAAGTAAAAGGCAGAGTTTTATGATAATAAGCTGTTTGTTTATGAAAAGCGAAGCCTAAGAGTGTCCTTAAAAACTGAGAGACGAAAAATTAATCTCCCTAAATGAAACATCAATTATTTTAAATATCTTATAAATTCTAAGAAACCAACACGAAATGATGTTATAATTTTCTTTGCAACCGGCGTACAAAAATGTCGCTATAACTATAGATCTTTATTTCACGGTCATAAGAATCATTTCTCCTTATTCACATGAAGGCTATATTTTAAGCGTCTAATGCGTTTTATGGTCTCGCGGGACGTTTTCATGGCTTCATACAAAGGTTTCATTTTATTGGTGCTTTACGACTGGTTAATACTGGCTGGTTATAAACTTATAACTAAATTAGACGGTTAAAAAGAGTTCGATATAATATTCATAAACTGCAATGTGTAAGTTTTATTTGGAAATAACTATATTTACAACTCATAGTAGAACACATTTAAATAAAACACTTATAACGGCTTAAAATGCTTATAATGCTATAGCTTGGACTGCAAACGATCTAAAATGTGAGACCCCAGATAATGTAAAAGTAATATAAGTCAATAAATATATTCCTCGTTTCAAACCGTTAATTTATTTTAAAGCTATGTAGTCACTTAAATAATTAAAAATGGCACAATATCTCAACAGTATCATTTATTTAAGGATAACTATGGATCTAGTACAACTATCGATCGTGTTTTAAACTATTTTAAGTAATTTTAAACATGTGCCACTCGCGTAATCAACATGTAATACTTTTATACACAATGCAATATTATTCGATTCATGTGAAGTGTAGTAATATATCATCATTTACAAATATGTTATCAAATCGATGATACGTGGTGCAGACATAGATATATGTTCCTTCTGATCCACAGGGGTCTGTGGGATTTACATATAATACAAATACATATGTAAAAAATTTAAACTTTTAAAAATCAAAGTTGTAATATAATCTATTTGAAACCACTTCACACTATACACTGTGTGAAGTTAAAGCAAAGATGTTGCGTGAAGAATTTATTCAACGCGTTGATGTCTTTTATACGATAAATCCGACGCCAGTCTGTCCAACAGAGAGGTATAAGTCGTAATGTATAGATTATTATTATCCAACAACTATATTAACCATATTGAATAAAAATACTACTTATTTGATATATGTATTAATTAAGATTCAAAATGGGATTGGTATACGAAAATACACAATATGCACTTTTGTTCATTTTTATTTCCTTTATATATTGAAGAACATGTGACACAGATGAGAATCGAACTCACGACCTACTGCTTTCTACTGATTCGGTCCAATTTATTAATAAAATCTTAACTGTTAATACTCAAGCAATGAAACAGACACAGAAATGTGTTCGCCACCAGTGCATGGGGAAACGGGCTTTCACTCATAATCTCACACGCTTAACTATTTAGAGTTCGTTATCGTCAAGACTTTATTTCTCAGTCTAAATGATTAATGATGATTTTTATCATGGGCCGCCTTAATGATTAAATGATTCGCGGTGTTAATAGTAAGTGCTCTTGATGTACTGGCCCCTTGCGAGGTGTTTTAATTGTAGAGTTAAGAGGTTTATTACAATCATTGTAATTAACAAAAAAGTCTTTCTTGTTTACTCAATATTATAATTGTTATAACAACTCTCTGAGGTTAGGTTTCAAAGACCTAACGCTATCAAATGGTATAATATTTATTTTATAAGTATATATTCAAATGTAATCATTAATATTGTTTTGTATTGTAAGTTTTTTTTAACTGACATAATTATGACAATAATTAGCAAATTGTCATTAAACCTAAAAATTAGTGTCCACTAATCTGTTGTATATAAAAACAAATATGCCGCGGAATGCGACATGTATAAAAAGTTATCCTTCACTATTAACATATAATAATAGTGTGTCTCACCTCAAATGCATCCAATGAAATTGAGAAGTTATATGAAATAAACACACACAACACCAAAATTTACTGTAACATGGCACTAATTTGCACTATCACTGCACTGAACTAGAATACACTATTTAATATTTAACTTGAAAAGACCATAAAACAACGCACATCGACAAAAGGTTTCCCCGCACTGACGCGAAGCGGCGCCACCAAGTACCACGATCCACACATCATGTGCTACCTCGCTCAGTCCTATGCGATTGGAGAGAGATGGACGGCTCAAACGAAAGCTCTTTTTTGGCTTCGAAAAAGTTGCCGCGTTACGTGCTGTTATATAAAATACAGCAGCTGTACTCATTTAATTTAGTTCTGTTAAACGTTTTGTAATCTTTAAGTTTGTTTCACGTGGAGATCGTAAGATTTTAAAATGGCAAAGGATAAAAATATAAATAAATTTTACCTGGATGATAGTCATCGTATGAAAAAAAATGCCAGTAATATTTGGTTATAAGTTCATTTAAAAAATGTTTACTGCGCCCGGAAAGATAAACATTGATGGACAAACGTGTGAAGTAAATCCACCGGGCTTAATTACTTTTATATTTACTGAATTGTACTACTTTGTTCTAATATCTTAAACAATACAATTTATAAATTTTAAACCAATAAGTTTAACGCGTCAAATATTTTTTTTATTAAGGTTTCTATGTACCAGCCAGTTCGAAATTTAAATTAAACCTTTGATAAGTTACCTCTTTGGTCGCCATTTTGGGGAGAAGAAATTTAGATTCTATGGAAATACTATTAATATAGATATAATAAATAAATTAATTAAATATTTTTAATATTTAATATATATAACCGTGATGTACATATTACATAATCAATAAAGCAATACTGTATAAGAGCGATTAATTTATTGCTGTGTCTCAAATGTATTATATTGTATATGTAATACATTTGACACACAGTTTAACTTAATAATTTTGCGTCCATTCTAATTGGACTTCTACGCCGTTCTCTACCGATATTATCATATCTTCGAGACCACGGTTGCTGCAAAACTTCCAAAACGACGGGTCCTACTTAAAAATAAATAACATATCTCTCGTTTTAACCCTAGTTTTA